CCTGATAATAAACCTTTGGGTTATTTATAGGTTTGAGTTTTAAGAGTAGAACTGCTGTGAACATTTACGAACCAGAGGTTTATTTATTCTTGAAAAGAGAAAAGAGGGTGTACGTCTAAGTGTATAAAAAAAACTTGCCCTTGTGTTTCTAGAGTAGTTGTACCATGTAACATGCCCACAAGCAATGTGTGAGTATTCCATGTCTCATTAACACCTGGTAGTGTATATTTTTTAAATTTCAACAATTCTAGTAGCATCTCATTGTGGCTTTAATTTTCATTTCCCCAATGACTGATAGCTTTAAATTTCATTTCATATGCTTATTTAAGGAGCTCTGGTGGTATAGTACCTGTTCTGGTTACCTAGTGCCGCTCTGACAAGAATATACCACAAATGGGATGGCCTTAACAAACTATTACTGGTTTGGAGGCTTTAAGTCCAAGTTCAAAGTGCCAGGCTCTAGGGGCTGGGTGAAAGCCCCTCAACCTTGGGGTCCAGCTCTGCCTCCTGCTCCTGGCCCACTGGAGCTACAGGCATTTCATCACTCAGACAGCTGTTGGCTGCTGAGTCTGACAAGCCAAGGTTGACAAATAAAAAGGCACAGTCCTGATGTTGCCAAACCACACGGCAGGCCATTAATTTAAGTCCCAAGGTCAGCAGAGCATGGCAGGCTGCTGAACAACAACATGGCTACACACAGGGTCCAAGCGTCCATAAGCGAGAGACTATCCCCAAGCCTTCTCCTTATATACAGGAAGCAGACCACGTCCCAAAGGCAGCTACTCATCTGCTTGTGGTAGATCCCACCATGGAGCTGATTGCCAGTCTCATCATTGGGAATAACTACCACCAGCTGCCCAGCCACTCAACCAGGCCCAGCCAAGTTGACATACAAATTCAACTACCACAGTGCCTAAGGTATTTGACTGCTAACCAAAAGGCTGGCGGTTCAAACCCACCAGCCACTTCCCGGAAGGAAGACTGAGCCATCTACTTGCATAGAGATGCTGCCTTGGAAACCCAAGAAGGGGTTGCTATGAGTGGGGCCTGACTCGATGGCAGTGAGTTTGTTTTTTTTGGTATGCTTATTTAACATTTATATATCTTCTTTTGTGAAGAGTTTCTTCAAGAGTTTATGTTGGATTTTTTTTCTAATTATGTTATTTATATTCTCTGGATGTTGTTGTTGTTGTTATGTGCCGTCGAGTCAGCCCCGACTCATAGCGACCCTTCCTTTTATTCACCTAGATCTTTCTAGCTATATCCATATGTAATGAATATTTTATCACAGCCTGTGCCTTCCCTTTTGAATTGATCGTTGTTTTTATTTGTTATTAACCAGAAAGTTAATGCTTCCATTCGCTGTCTAAAAAAGTCTCTGCCTAACCTAAAATCATGAAGATTTTATCCTATGTTTTCTTCAAGAAGCTTTATGGCATTAACTTTTATGTTTTGGTATAAGGTCCATTTTGAATTGTTTTTGTGTGAAATAGAGGTCAAGGTTTGGCCCCCTGCCAATAGAACTGTATCTCTGATCCAGCACCATTTGTTGAAAAAAATGTCCTTTCCCTGTTGAATTCCCATGCTATCCTAAGGAATATCCATTGACTATATATGTGTGGGTCTATTTCTGGACTCTCTTTTCTATTTTAATGATTTATATGTCTATATTTCAGTACTGCACTGTCTTAATTAATGTGGCTTTGTAGTGTTTAACTCAGGAAGTTTACCTCCAACTTTGTTTTTCCTTTTCAAAATTGTTTTGGTTCTTACAGGTCATTGTATGTCTGTATAAATTTTAGAATCAGCTTGTCAGTTTCTACTGCGGAAGCCGGCTGGGATTTTGGTTGGGATTGCATTGAATTCATAGATCAGTTTTGGAAGAGTTGATACCTTAACTACATTGTGTTATATAATTCATGAGCACTGTATAACTCTCCATTTATTTAGGTCTTCCAAAATCTTTCTCAGTGCCTTGTTGTTTTTGGATGGGAGGTCTTGTGTATCTTTTATTAAACTTATCCCTAAGTATTTCATGTTTTCTGATAATTTGTTTAGTAGTAGTGTATAGAAGTGGTATTGGTATTTATACATTGACCTTGTATAATGAAACCTTGATAGGTTTACTTATTAATTTTAGATTTTTAAAGGAGTTTCTATATAGATAATTGTGTCATCTGGGAAACAACTTAGCTTTAGTCTTCCTTTCCATTCTTTTGATTTTCTTACCTTTTGCAATGGCTGGGATACCCAGTACAGCAGTGAATAAAAGAGAAGAGTGGACATCCTTGATGTGTTAATAATCTTAGAGGGATATTTTCCATGTTTTTTCACAGTGACTTGGTGTTTTATAGATTCTCTTTGTCAAACTGAAAAAGTTCACTTCTGTTCCTAGCTTATTGGGGTTTTTAAATCATGAATTAAATGTTGACTTTCATTCTATGCTTTTTCTGCATCTGTAGAAATGATGTGTTTAATTTGTTTGCCAAATGGAACTACGTTTGTATCTGTGGTGTAAGTTCTACTTTTTGTTGTTGTGTTGTTATGTGCCATTGAGTCGACCCGGACTCATAGCAACCCCTCCTTGGGTTTCCGAGGCAGTATCACTATGGAAGTAGATTGCCCAACCTTCCTTCTGAGGAGTGGCTGGTGGGTTTGAAC